CCCAAGCTGCATGGAAGTGCCGCTCGCTCACTGAAGCGTAGGCATTCTATTTACTTTTGCCAGTGCAGCTGCCGTATGTAAACAAACTAAACACGTTCAGCTCGGGCAAATTACACGTCGGGTTACGCGCTGTCGCTCCAGATGAATTCTAGCCTCGGCGAGTACCCTCCCCCCCTCTCTCACTGAATCTGGCGCATATGAGCGACTATTTGTATGAGGCACCTTGCCTGTTCTCTGCCCTCCCGCTGTGGCTGATTTCCTAAAGCTGTGCGCTGGGCAGCCGGCTCTGACGTCAGTAATAAAATCGCCACTAAACTAAATTATTGCCCTTTGTCAGCCACGTACTTACTACCATAAAATGGAAGGCTGTTGTCTTGAGCAAGGTTCTTTTTGGCGTTGTATAAGTGGTTGCCATACTGGGAGAGTCAGTGTTGCCAGATTGCCGCTAAATTTAACTGCAAAATTTTTTCTGTAGTGGTGGCTTTTCCGTGAGAATTTGGTGCCATCCGCGGTGCATTTCGCGAACGAGCGACGCTGGCCGTTTTAATTAACGGAATGAACCGCGCCTAGCAGAAGTTGAGCACGGTGCTGCTGTGCAATTAAGAGGTTGTTTTAATTAACGGCATGAAGCGCGCTTAGCAGAAGTCGAGGCGCGTTCTCTTGCTGTGTGCGCAGCTGTGCGATTAAGATATCGCGTCTCAGTATTAGGGATGACGGGGAAAACTGAATAGAGTCGCAGGAGGTGATGCGCTGCCCCCCTCCCCCCTTATTTCATTTCGTTAGTTAAATTGGCCTCCTAATTGCACGGCAGCGCCACGCTCGACTTCTGCTAGGCTCGGTTCATTCCGTCAATTAAAACAAATTCTGTAATGCGCGGTTCATTTCGTTAATTAAAACGAAATTAAAACGGCCTCTTAATTGCACGGCAGCACCACGCTCGACTTCTGCTAGGCTCGGTTCATTCCGTTAACTAAAACGGCCAGCATCGCTCATGCACTCGCGAAATGCACCGCGGATGGCACCAACCTCTTACGGAGAAACCACAACTACAGAAAAAACATTTCTGCCAAATTTAGCGGCAGTCTGGCAACAACCACCCCAAAGTCTGGCAACTGATTTATGCAACGCCAAAAGGAACCTTCCTTGTCTTGTTCCTTCCACTCGGAGCTCCAAGAATCGGGATTGTTGTGGTTCGCATCAGCTTGTAAATTACTGATCTGCTCAAGAACTTGGCCCTGCGAACCATTCCACCTACACATAGGCCAAAATGATTTCTGTACGTTCTGCCACAACACATACCGTCCACACCAATCCTACATTTAGGATAACCATGGCAGAGCACTGGAAGGCTATGCTGCATAGCGTGTTTCCGGATGACCAACTCTTACCAATCCAGCTGGCCGAAGACACCCCCAATATCCAAGGTCTGGTCGCCGCCCAAGCAGTGTGGGCGCTTCGGTCTCTTGGCCCACGTGTCCTTCAACACCAGCAAGGACAAAAATTGAAATTTTGTTTCTCTCCCTTGGAAAAACAGACAATGGGTCGGCGCCGACTTATTTTTTTAGCCTTTCATCTCCAGAAAGTAGTTAGTTCATATGAGCCATATCTTGTCACTCATCGCTTCTCAAAGGTATGATAGCACAAAAATATCGATGTTCAACCTTTCTTTAGCAAGGCTTGCGAGCACAAAGTCAGGTACGAACATGCACTTCCTGGTTAGGCAACACTATGAACACCCATGGTAGCACAACAAAAATTAAACCGGAACTCTGTGGCTCTGCTTGAAACACCTATTCTTGTGTGCCAACACCATGGAGGTCAATAGAAAAGGCTGATATGGAAATACTGATTGGGCAACAATTCAGCATACCACCAGACGTAGCATAGCAACGTTGCTCATATAGTTCTATGCACTCTTGCCTCTTGTATTTAATACACAGCCCATCAACTGCTGTTAGCCAACCACATCGTCCAGCCAGATAAGACAGGTGATGATAGCATCCGTTTTTTTTTTTTTTTTCAGTGTAAAATAAACATACACCTACCAAGTTCATTGCACACCTACAAAAATAGGTGGACACATGCATGCAGTGCTGTGTGTGCGCATGTGTAGTCGCGTTCATGTAGTTTGAACTTGACAGCTCGATTTCAGTCTAAGCTCCCTCTCAAAGTCATCATACTACATACAATTAAGAAAAGACGCATAAATACAACGTACAAGAAGATGGGGTATTTACCACATCACAATGTTTTCGCACCTCCTAGCACTCCCTTTTAATGCTTTGGTTTCATCAATCGCATGCAGTTGCATTCTCTTCTATATCTTAGACACGTGTCCCAACAATAAGGTAAATACATCAGTTCTTATCGTTCTTTGATTTGTAAACTCGTATCTCAATATAACAAATGTCGATATAATAAAATATTGGTTATAATGAGAGTAAATGAAAAATAGTCTTGCAACAGTTAGATAACCTTTATAACAGACTACATTCTTTCCCAAGTCGTTCCTCTTTTTTTAGCTTGCAACATTTTCAACGAAACAAGAGAGGAGTGAAAGTAACTGCAATGTGCAACAAATTTTTGTAACTCCGTTCATACTTGACAGATTCTAAAAATTTTTTCAGCGGCCAATTCATGAGGCAATAAGCTCCTTAAGGGGGCAGACTGGTCTTTGGGACCAAAAAGTGAAAAAAAAAATTCATTTTTTAAAATTGACATATTTGGTTTCTGCAAGTATTTTTCTATCTCTCTGCCAATTTTCACACACCAGGAAGTAGTAATTCTTTTGTAATGTCATTTTAACTGTCTGGTTTCTTGGTGCTGTTAACATGCAGAACCTTAAAAAAAATCGGGAACCGACTTTAAGGGGCCAGACTGCTCTTTGGGACCAAAAAGTGACAAAAAAATCTTTTTTTTAAATTGACATATTTGGAATCTGCAAGTATTCTGCTATCTCTCTGCCCATTTTTACACACCAGGAAGTGGTAATTTTTTTGTAATGTCATTCTAACTGTCCAGATTCTTGGTGCTGTTAGCATGCAGAACCCGCTAAAAAATGGGGAACCAACTTCGAGGCCTCTTTATAATTTGTCGGCACCTGTGTTAGAAGCTCTGCTATGAATTTATGAGCACTTTTATGAGGATTGCAAAACATGCACACCATGATTGTTGTTTTTTGAAGAAGCTGTGTGCTTTCAGTTTTTCCATTTTTCTCAAAAAAGTAAATTTACAACTGTTCAATTTTGAGGCCTCAATATCTCTGCAGCTAGGGCAGGTACAACAATAATTATTTCTGCAATGGAAACCTGTATGTGTGTAGGATGCAAGTATGGGAGCAGAATTTAGAGAACAAGCCTTTTTAATTAATTACTCATCACAATTTTAACACAATTCCAACAGCTTTTGAAAATGGATAGTTCATTTTACTGTAAAATAATAAGAAAGGCTTAAAAACAAAAAACTCTTGCATTATTTCAATCTATAGCCATTAGCCTATGTTAGGATATTTTAAACATCACTTTTAATTAAGCACTTTTTTTCTATGGCAGCCTTAAACAATAGGCGGTGAACTTAAGTTATCTCAGGAATAAGATGAGTTACAGAAAAACGAATTAAACATTCGAAATCAGCAGAAAAACCTGCATAATTCTGTGCAGTTTAATCAAGATCACTGAAGAAATAAACAAAAAATGTCTAAGAGCAGTCTGCCCTATCAAGGCTTCTTTATAATTTGCCAGAACTTGTGCCTAAAGCTCTACTACCAATTTATGAGCGCCTTTATGAGGATCGCATAACATGCGCACCATGAATGTTGCTTTTTGAAGAAACTATACGTGTTTAGCTTTTTCCATTTTTCTCAAAAAAGTAAATTTACGACTGTTCAATTTTGAGGGAGAAACTGCTAGCGCACTATGCGGGGCCTTATCTTGTTCTAGACCGTATCAAAGATTTAGTTTACCGCATAGCGCGTCTCCATTCGAACGGCCGACGGTCTGCAAAAACTGAACTTGCCCATGTTGCACGTTTGAAGCACTTTATTCCTCGAGAGACTGTTTGACCCGCCCAGTGGGCTTCGTCTGCACGGAGGGAAATGTTACCACATATGTAATTTAGGTATTTGCACCAGTGTAGCGGGGAAGAGGGTGGTGGCAGAAGAAGAGGACGTTTGGTGGCAAGAGCTCACTGGTGCGCGTTCACTGCTGTATACCGGCCAGTCGACCAATACGTCGGCTATGAATAAACCCCTCTCGTAGACGTAACAATATCTCTGCAGCTAGGGCAGGTACAATAATAATTCTTTTTGCAGCGGAAACCTGTATGTGTGTATAATGCAAGTATGGGATCAGAATTTAGAACACAAGCCTTTTTAATTAATTACTAATCAAAATTGTAACACAATTCCAACTGCTTTTGAAAATGGATAGTTCATTTTGCTATAAATAGCCAACAAAGGCCTAAAAACAAAAAACTCTTGCATACTTTCACACTATAGTCATTAGTCTATGTTGGCATATCATAAATATCACTTTTAATTAAGCACTTTTTTTTTCTATGGTGGCATTAAAATTGGGGGAGAACTTAAGTTATCTCAGAAACAAGATAAGTTACAGAAAAACTAATTAAATATTTGAAATCAGCAGAAAAAACTGCATAACCCTGTGCAGTTTGATCAAGATCACTGAAGCAATAAACAAAAAATGTCTAAGACCAGTCTGCCCTCTTATATGAATCCATTCTACGGTTACACTAAAAAGTGTTACAGGGCCCCTTTAAGGCAATGGGGTGGACTTTGCGCCCGCGTCCTCCTAGACGACTAGCGGGTGCAAGGCCGCACCCCCTGCACAAAAATTGCAGCAGAAAAGTAGCACACAAATTATGCAGTAAGAACCAATATTCAAGGGCTAGTTATATGTCCTTGCTAACATGAACCATCACAACTGCACATGCACAGCCACGTACTAGCTAGGCTGTGCCTGTCAAAGTACACGAAAACACAGTGGCTGTTGCAATCAGTTTTATAAAAACCAAATGACATTTCCACTTTCCAGAAAACTCTTCACAAAGAAGTTTCCTGCAGCATGAAACGTTATTGACAGGTAGTACCCTAGTAGGGGGAAATCGGGAAGAAACAAGCACCCATAGTATAAAATCTCCTTGTTCGTGTCAAACCCTAGAAGTACAGCTACTCACAAACTACACCTGCATACTCTCCAGGAGAAGAATAATTAAGAGTTCGGGATGGCATATAAACACTATGTGGACTGCACAACTACTGGGAAGTCCAATGGACTGCAAGTAGAGAACTACACTTTCGAGGCCTTCTTGCAACAGACTACCATGTTGCATGAGGTCAACATTCACAACAATATTAGTGAAAAATTACGGCAACGAAAATCTTAATACATACACCTATTTCATATAACTCCATTTTCAAATGTTGGACAAGAAAGAGACATGCATGAGTTTTGCACAAAAACGCATGGCAGGCGACAAAAATATGCTGGTGAAGACCTGGACGTGCAACTTGGGTTCACTCTGCTAGACATATGTTGCACCTGTGTCTCCAAGCAATGAACGAAAAGTACACTAACTTGCTCTGAACTTGAGTGCTGTTGCTGGCTACGCCTTTAGCCAACTGCTTCTAGCCATTTGTCTAGCTATCTGCTAAAAATTAATGTTACCGAGCTAAAAAACGGCAACTGAAGAGGAATTGCTTCTCGACCACTGGAAACAAAAGAATTACAGCAGCGTATTAAAAAGATGTTCACAATTGAAAGGGGAGCACAAGAACAAATGACAAAAACATTCCTGCAGGATAAGCTTGCTACCAAGTAGCATCCAAAAGTTTCTAAGCCATAAATTTTGTTCCAGTACTCAATGCCTTGAACGGACAGCAAAAAACTAAAACACGAGTATTCCCGTATAGCACAGTCAGCCCCACACATTTAAAGAAAACTTCAAACAGCACTTCAATTTCACGACCATTTTAACACGAAACAAGGGTAAGTATCCAGCAACGCAAATAAGAAATATTCGGCTGTTCTGCATCAGCACTTCTTGCCGCCCCCACTGCAGAGTGAAACAAAAGTTATGCAAAAGCAAACCAATCATGTTCCACTGGCAATCGCCGCTGCTGTCTCTATAAGCCTCAAAATTAGTTTTTGCTGTACAAAAACACTTGCACTCACATGCTCAGCAAAAATGGAATCGCACGCAGAACACAGCAGAAGTCACACCTGTCACCCAAAGCTGCAAACGCAATAGTCTCCCCACTCGTAGGGAACACAGCCTGAGCGGACGCAACAAACTTTTGGGATTCACTCGATAGTCCAAAGCTACTCACTCAAGACTCCAAAGTTAGCCAACAGCCGAAGTCCGGCTGCACTGACCACAGCAACAAAATGACACACTCACTTGTGAAGTTGCACTGTGCTACTTTGAACTTTTGAATTGAGCCAAGTGGCTCAATTCGTATTCAGTGATACCAAGAACTGCAGCTGACGGACAAAGAGTATATGCTTAATGTTATACAGCTACTATTTGCTAAATCTGCAAAATTTGCAATGCTTTCCTTGGAGTACATAACTTTCTAAAATTGCTAGCTTCCCAAGCCAAGTCAACCACTGTGCATCAATAGTACCTCACAAACATGGACTTGACGCAAATACTTGCACATCCTACTCATTACTTTGTGTCAGTTTGCACAGTGGCATTTTTCACACAGCCATTAAATTAAGCAACTGGTCATGTCACAGTCACGGCACTGACATCTGTCACAGTCACGGCACTGACATCTGTCACGAGAGTGTTTTCTCTTCAAAAATGTTACGCCAGCAATGCTAATGGCGTCAGGTGATGTCAGCGGCATGTGATTTTTGAGAAAGAATGGAAAAGAAAGTGCTTCTTTATGGGGCAGATGTGATAGAGCGCGATGTGGCTGCTTGAAGCTAGCTTGAATCCACCACTGCTCTCAATGAAATTGTGGCAAAGGGTCATTTTACACACTTCGAGCGCTGGCCGCATTCAGTGTACCAGGAGGCTTCGGTCAATTTTCTATGTTGTCACGGCTTAGCGTAGATAGCCCAATACCAGACTGCACTTAAAAACTATAGCAATATGACAAGTTTGTAGCTTTTTGCACTCAAATCAACAAAGCAACACAGCAGTTAACCCAGAACACTCAATAACACTGTCACTATATCGAGAAAAAAAATCTTTAAAAAAGAGAGAGAGCGAGAGACAGTCACACACTCAGCCGCCTGCCAGTTCAAAGTCTACACAGGCACACGCGAGAAACCAAACAAGCACGCGCCAAATCAGGGCTTCACACCGAAAAAGATGCACACACTCATGACGGACCACGTCTTCGGTGCCCCACAGCAGCCAAGAAAAGGTTAGGGGCGTGGACACAGAAGAAGATGACAACAACCATGGATGCATTCTCTCAGGACATCATTTCATCCTGGCCATGCTCGTACGTGGGAGGCGGGCACTGAATCACCGTCTCGCCAGGGATGTCCTGCACATCGCAACCCCAAATTAGCATCAGCGTGCGATATACATCCTGCCCACAGGGCTGCTAATCTAATTTGCTGGTTAATCAGATTTGCAGGGTACACAATCAAGTCAAGGCCAACACCAAAATAGCTCTGAGTAGCGGTACAGCTCTTGCAAAAGTAACAGTGAATGTTTAAAGGCACCATCCACAAGATGAATTCGAGTAGCCCAAATGTATAATGATTGTGTCTTATGATGACTGAAATGAGATATTGACCCCGGAAAGCGAGAGGCAAACATTAAACATGGTGTAGCCACTTCACAGTGGGCCTTCCTACACCAGAGCAGCCAGCGATGGTCCCACTACTGAAAGCTGCACATATTAAAACCAAATTGCAGCTGCTCCGACCAGGAGGCATGTTCTTATTAATGAGATGATATTTTTAAAAAGCCCACGAAAATTTGGATTCACACCCTAGCAATCTCGAGTTCAAAAGGGCAGGTTCTTTTGGGGGTTTTTACCGCAACAGCGATTACAAATGCAGGTGTGCTGGTGGAAGGAATTACGAAAAAGCTGTTCTGAATGAGGGTCCATGAATAAAGTATAATAAAGGGAAAGTGTTCATGCATTCCCAATGTACACGTGTTTTTGTGTGGACGCTAAGCACATAAATTAGATTGCGTTGTCCAAAATAAAAAATTGGCCCGGTATCTGCACGTTTCAATGCAAATATCGTCGAAAGACGATAGTCTTGCGTGTGGAGAGAGTGAACAAAACCATTATTTGATGTTCTGCGCAAGAAAATTGGTGACTGGTATTCTGTAGTCGCTGCGTTAGAGTGCCTCAATGCGCGCAGCGGAGGCAAACGAGTGCATCGAGGCACGTCACACGTGAGACATGAGCGCTATCTGGCAGTTATCTTGGAAAACTAAGTGCGCGGCGTGCGTGCCCGTCTCACGCGATAAGTTGTAGAACGCAAGGCGACGGGTAGGTGCCACCGCCCTGTCGTCTTTGCAACGCGTTGGAAACGCTTGTCTTTTCGTGCAAGCGTTGCATTGTCAGCGCAGCGTGATAAACGCTAGTCCTTAGAATTACTTATGTATGCTTTTTCTAGTATAAAGAGATATGTACAGAATATTGACGTGTTGTTATTGTACCTCAGATATCCGCAATGATTGCAATATTGAACCTCAGTTATCCGCAATATGTGCAACTTGAGCAATATTGGTGAGCGCTGCGGATGGGGTTGGATTTTGGCCGTTTCGGGTATCGTTTCAGCGGACAAACAGACAAGTCCACCGACAGACAGACAGACAGTTGGACAGACAGACAGTTAGACAGACAGACAGACAGACAGACAGAGAGACCAAAATTTTTGCGTCGAAGGTCCCCAAGAAATACTATTGTCTTTGATAAAACATGACAGATGTCCTGACGGCACACTTGCAGTTATTACTGATGGTTGCTTTAATTACATGCCGCACAACTTTTCAAACGAGCTATCAGCGGCGTTCCTGGAACGGACGATGTACGCCAATGAATTGCCACCAGTTTCATGCTACCGATTGGACTGGACGTCACGAGCCCCTGCGGGGAGTGCATTTCGCCATTAAGAAAGCTTGCACAAAAGAAGTTGCGTCGGCACCAAACATCAAATTGTGGATTACTTAAAATGCACGCGGGACCGCTTTTTATTCAGTGGAATAATTCTAGGTATGTGATTCTGACTTTGGTGGCTCCGAGAACAAGGTGCACATGTTATTACATGCGGACGTGGCTTATGCCAGTGCTAGACGCTCCCAAATCCGACTTTGGCACAGTTTGGCGTAAATTATATAGATATTACTGGGATGGCTCACTTTAGTGCAGTTAGCGCATAAGTGGAATCACTGCATGATGCCAGATTGCTGCGCGCACACTTGCAAACACACTGAAAGTAAGCGAGGCAGTAAGAATGAAAAAAAAATTGCTGAAGGTCATAACGCGCTCATGAAGGGACGCATCTTCTTGTCCCATCATCATCCCCCTCCCTACCTACGTATCTTTCAGCCTGCTTGCTTGTACAAAAGGTGAGAGATAGCACATAAAGCGTGCAAGCAAATCCCTGTAACTGTCATTTGTGGTTAACAGATTCTAAACATTTTTGCGTCAGTCGACTTTCAAGGCAATAAGCTTTTTCAATGAAGTCATTCATTTATTACAAGTGAAAACGGCCCCCTTAAACGGACATTAAAGGAAAACAATTACTTAGTTTAGATTGACAAACTGCACTCTGAGAACACTAATGTCATGTGTTTTATTGTCGTAAGTTCATTAATAGCAGTTGAAGAGTGTTTTTTAAGGGGGGAGGTGGCATAGAAAGAAAAACTTTTTTGTTTGTTGACCTAAAGCAATGAAATTTGGCATGCATAGTCGTAAATGTCTTGATTAGGAAAATGTGCAGTTTCATCGTGATACCTTGAGTAGTTTTGAAGTTACGTCATGCTACATGGTTCGATTCATATTGTCACGGTAATAAAATCAGTGCAAGTAACAGTGTAGCAAACAGCAGAACAGCTTCGATCGAGCAGCGCGAGTTCGTTGTCTTTTCGGCCGACCAAATCCTTGACACGCACATGTAATAATGACGCTAGCCACGCAACAGCCAGAAACCCACTACATGCTCGTGTCATTACTCCCCCTCTCGAAAAGCATTGATTCGATGCTTTCAAATGTATGAAGGCAAGAACAAGTCTTCAGTGTGAGTAATACGGCTTCATCCTAGCCGCGTGGATGATGTCCGGCTGGGCACCGTGACGGGAGGACTGCACGCTAGGCTCTTCGATAACTTCATAGTTTACATCGCTGAGGTGCTGAAGAACCCGGTAAGGGCCGAAATAACGATGCAAGAGCTTCTCAGAGCGGCCGCGTTGGCGTACCGGACTCCAGAGCCATACTTTCTCTCCGGAGTGGTAGGTGACTTCTTTGTGCCGAAGGTTGTACCTATGGGCATCGTGTTGTTGTTGAGAGCAAATGCGCAAGCAAGCTAGTTGTCAAGCTTCTTCTGCGCGCTGTGCATACTGGTCAGCATTTTCGGTGATGGTCGAAATGCGTCAAGTAAGAGCATGGCGTCTAACATCATAGTAACTTCGCGGCCGTGAAGCAGGGGGAAAGGTGTAAATACTGTAGTTTCTTGCACGGCGGTGTTATATGCGAAAGTTACGAAAGGGAGGACACTGTCCCAGTTCCTATGGTCTACGTCGACATACATGGAAATCATGTGATGGTCTTATTGAGCCGTTCGGTTAATCCGTTAGCTTGTGGATGGTAAGCTGTCGTTCGGCAATGTAAGATGCCGCTGAGTGTCATCACTTCTTCCAGTAGATGGGCAGCGAAGGCTGTGCCTCTGTCTGTCAGAACCACGGCCGGTGCACCCCGACGGAGGACGACCGCATGAATGGAGAAATCCGCGACATCGCTTGCCGTACCGCGCTGGAGTGCTCGTGTTTCACAATAACGGGTTAAATAGTCAGTTGCAATTCTTATCCAGTGATTCCCCGCTGAAGATTTCGGAAATGGACCTAGCAAGCCCATGCCAACTTGCTGAAATGGTTCTCAGGGTGGATCAACAGGGTCTAAAAGACCAGCAGGTCTCATGGGCGGAGTTTTGCGACGCTGACAGTCTCGGCAGGTTTTCACGTAGTGCTTGACCGTACGGGACAGATTGGGCCAGTAGTACGTGTGGCGGATATGTGCCAGAGTACGCGTGAACCCTAAATGCCCGGAAGATGGTTCGTCATGGCACGCCTTAAGGATGTCGTCTTGCATCACAGATGGTAGGGCCAGTAAGGCGGTTCGAGTGTTGGAATCAAAGCTCCGCTTGTACAGGACGCTATCACGAAGGAAAAATGATGAAATCGTGCGGCTGAATGTTCGTGGTGGCTGTTCAAGCTTGTCCTCGAGATCGTCAATGATCGGGCGAACTTTGTTTTTGAGCCAAGTCGGAGGCTGTGACGGCCATGAGGAAACTTTCGTCGTCAGTTTGGTCAGGAGGAATCGACTCGACTGGGGCACATGATAGGCAGTCAGCATCGGTGTCCTTGCGTCCTGACTTGTAAACCACCATAACGCCAATTTTTTGTAAGCGGAGACTCCATCGAGCTAGGCGGCCTGAGGGGTCTTTGAGGCCTGCAAGCCAGCACAAGGAATGGTGGTCGGTGACTACTTTGAATGGTCGCCCATAAAAATATGGTCAGAACTTGGCTGTGGCCCACACGACAGCTAGGCATTTCTTTTCTGAGGTGGAATAGTTCGTTTCAGCCCATGATAACGTACGACTAGCGTAGGTGATCACTCGCTCGATACCTTCCTGCCATTGCACAAAGACGGCTCCGAAGTCGACATTACTTGCATCTGTATTCACTTCAGTGCCGGAATTTTCGCCGAAGTGACCCAAGATTGAAGGAGTCTCAAGGCATCGTCGTAGCTCGCAAAAAGCTTCGTGTTGTTCTGGGGCCCACACAAAAGCAACGTTGTCTCTCGTGAGTTGGTTTAAGGGTTCTGCTATTTTGTAAATGTTCAGAACGAAGTGACGATAGTACGCACAAAGGCCCAGAAACGGTGTACGTCGTGTTTGTTCATCGAGGTTGGGAAGGCAGCGACAGCCAGTGTTTTCTCGAGGTCTGGGCGAATTCCGTCACTGTTGACGACATGGCCGAGAAACTTGAGCTCCTCGTAGCCGAAGTGGCACTTTTCGGGCTTGAGCGACAGGCCAGCTGTTCGTAGCGCCTCAAGTACTGCACGAAGACGCTAAAGGTGCTGCTCGAAAGTCGATGAAAAAATGACGACGTGTCTTGTCTAAATAGACAAGACACGATTGCGACTTGAGATTGGACAAAACTGTGTCCATCATTCGTTGAAAAGTCGCGGGAGTGGAGCGCACTACAAAAGGAAGCACCTTGAATTCAAAGAGCCCGTCAGGAGTAATGAAGGCGGTCTTTTCCCGGTCACGCTCATCGACCTCAATTTGCCAATAACCACTG